AGAATGGGGACAAGAAAGAAGGCACCATTAAACTTGTGGCTTCCTTGAACCTTTGCACCAGCCCACTCTGCACTTCTTTTCTCTTTCCCTTCTTTAATTGGCCCACACTCATTCTGCAGACCACTTTAGTTCAGAACACTTTTCCCTTCTTTTCTTACCTGCATTACCTCTACATTTAATAAAGGTAAAACTTTGCTGTGTTCTTTGCTCATCTTGTCCCATACTTTAAGCAGGACAACATGAGCCTGGAGAAGACCCCTGGGAAAGAACACAGCACCCCAGTACACCCCTAAGAGAAGCCCCGAATGGAGTATCCATGACAGGGCGTGAAACATTCCAACATGAGCCATACCAACACCAAAGAGATTGGACCAAGAAGTAGATTCCACTTGCTCTCCTGAATGATCTTCTTCCTTTCTTTTCTTCATTTTACTCCAGATGTTGCTATACAATCTGTGAATCAAACAAGGAGCAAAAGGGTGAAATTCTGCACTCCCTTCAGCTCATAACCAAGTAACTTTAAGACTCCATACGATGGTTGGAGTCCTGTCAACTGGGTCACACCATGAGGAATTTGAAGACAGAAATTGTATGCACAGAGCATGAAAAGGGGAAGCTGTGGTCTCCGGTGATTTCACAGATATTAATTTAATCCATAACCTCCACCGGTTCCATACAGCTTTGAAAAATCTTCTCTGTGACCAAGCCTCCGTATTTGAGTCTCCAAAGGTAGGAACAAAACCTCAAAGTTCCTGACTCCCTTCCTCAGTGTGTCTCACATTCCATCTCCCCCAAATGACCTTCCTGTGGTCTTCCAACCATCTGTGACTGCTGTGGCCTTCAATATTATGCTCTCTGCGAGCACCTGATGGGGCCTCCTCTGTATTCATCAGCACTGTCCCTTGCCTTCCGGTATTATTGATTGCCTTTTAATGTGTGAATTGTAACCATTCAAGTAGACTATAAATGATCTAAGGGTAGGCAAAACATCTATTAAATCTTGTTATTCCTCAGGGAAAATTGCAGTGTCCTTCAATAAATATTTGATAAGCAAGTGAGTGCCTAACTCTTTCTTTGTTGCCTAATTAAATACTCTAACATGGGCAAATTTCATCTAAGCATATTTTGTTTTGTTTTGTTTTGTTTTGTTTCTGCTCACAACTCACCTTGGGCAACGTCTGGGTGAGATTATTCTAAGAGATGATTCTAATAGGTGTTCGTTCAATTCATTCAAGTGAGATCTTGGCATAAATTTCACAGCAGTCAAAAAATGGGGTAGGGTGGATTCTTCCCTCAAAGTTCTTGCGGGTCAAAACAGAGACTGTGATATTGAATACATAGTCACAATGAAAAACTAAATAGTATTATGTAAAGGACACTGGTAACAGAAAGCTGGCACAGCACACTGAGTGTAAGGAAAGACAAGACCTCCTTGGAGCCATGAAGTTTATTCTAAATTTAATAGTGAGTGTTTTCAGTACCTTGACTCAGGCCTGCTTTGGCAAACCCGATGCAGCCCAGCTTACAGGGTTATGGGCGTCTGAGAACCACACCACATCTACAAGCAACACATGTGTTAGGCCCAGAAAAAAAATGCAGAAAATGTAAAAGAACAGTAGTGAAATGTGTGAGAAGTTACACTGAATGTGTTTTGCATTAAAAAGTTGAAGATGGGAGGAACAGAAGGAGAAAGAGGAAGCATAGGACAGGAAAAGAAGAGAAACAGGAGGGGAAGGAGGGAGGGAGGGAAGAAGAAGAGAGGAGATAACGGAGGAAGCAGTGGCAGGAGTTGGGAAGATACTGCAAAAGCAGTCTTGATAAAAATAAACACTCGGACAAGATGCACACATCAATCTCGGGTATCTTCTAGATCTTTCATTGTCTAGATGGTGTTTATTGGTAAATTGTGAAACTAATAAAGGTAGTTTTTAAAAAGCTTTATTAAGGTGTAATTGGTTTGCAATCATTTAAACATGCATAACACACAATTTGCTTAATTTTGACTTATACTGATTTACACGAATCCTTGTCCATAATGATCTTAATGGACATGTATATCATCCCCAAACCTCTTAGTATCCCTTTAGAATCCCTCACCCAGGTCCCCAGGGAGCCAGAACTCTTTCTGTAGATTCATTTTCTAGAATATTATGTAAATAGAATCTCATCATGTACTCTAGTATTTCTGAAAAACACTCTGTTTTTCATTTAGGGTAATTATTCTTAGATTAACCCAAGCTACTGTAAGAACCAATATTTTATTCTTTTTTATTCTAGAGTACTATTCAATTGTAGAATATACTATAATTTGCTTATTCATCCACTTATTGATGGAAATTTGGATTTGTCTAATTTGAGACTATTATAAATGAAGCTGCTGTGAACATTCTTGTTTTTGTTTTTTGGTCCCGAGGATCAAACTCAGGACTTTGCTCTTGTGAGGCAGGCAGGGGAAGTGCTGAGCGAAATCCCCGGCCCCTGCTGTGAACATTCTTACACAAGTATTCACATAGATGTATGTTCTCACTTCTCTCAGGTTAAGTACTTGGGATTTGAGTGGCTGAGTCTTACCACGTATGTTAAATACTTTGTAGAAGATGACAAACTGCTTTGCAAAATGATGATGGTGATCCGTTACCCTTCACCAGGGTGTGTGTTTGCCCTTTCACACGCCCTCCCCAACACTTGGTATCTGACAGTACCTCACTGTGGTTAATTCGCATTTTCCCAATAGCTAATGAGACTGAGCATTTGTTAACACATGGATTTACCATTTTAGGGGATATGTCTTCTCGAGTCTTTTGACTCTTTACTGAGTTGATTTCTTATTATTGAGTTTTGCAAACTTTCTGTATCTTCTCAGTACAGGATATCCATCTGACCTGTGATACATATTTAAATGAATCATCACCAGACTCAAGTGCAGAAAGGAATATTTAAAATGTTTTATTAATTTAAAATAACATAAAACACAGAAAAGGAAAACCAAATCCAGAAGAGTTTATTGGACATAAATATAACTATAAGAACATATATAAAGAGCTATGTCATGTTATATTTATAAGCAAACCACAAAAAACGTCAGTGATCCAGGAAGATATACCCAGCCTTAGACTAACAAGTGTGTCCAGCAAGAAGTTGCTACCCCCCTCTCTCCTGGAGCTGGCCTCCATCTCCTCCTTCCAGTGACAAACCAGGGACAGCCTTCTGCAGTTTCATCATTAGCTATTAATGACTTGGTTAAAATTTCCTGCTGTTCAACCCACACAGCCTTCTAAGGATCCATTTTAAGCTACTATTAAAGACAACATGGGAAAAAATTTACTATTTGTGGAACAACCTTGAACATCTTTTCCGGCAGCATTTTCAGAGCAAGCCCTGCATCCACTGTGGGCCGCCCACCGAGGGCAGAGTTTAAGCTCATCGACTAACCAGAGTGTGACACAGCAGCCAGCTGCCGACCAGCCCCTGGGATAAGTTGTCCTGCTCAGCATAGAGGACTGGCAGGGAAGAGAACTGAGAGCCTCTTGTTTCTTCACCAAAGGACAAAGCCACATTTAAGAGATGCCAACATAGTTACCAAAGGGCAACCATTAATTCAGACAGTTCTATAATCATTTCCTTCCTAAGATAAAAATCAAAAAGGCAAGGAAAGCTTTTATTAGGAAATAAATTCAAATTGAGTATATATACCACAATAAGTCTATAAAGGTCTGCAGAATGGAATTTAAAATTCCATCATATTACCTGTGAGAAAAGTGAATCGGGAGCCCTAGCACCAAGTTTGGGACTCTACTCCCAGTGAATGCGGTTGCTTTCTTACAAGCCTTGTTCTCAACACCACACAAGAAACAGAAACAAAGGGAAGCAGCATGTGCTGATGAATCCAAGACCTCACCATTAGAACTAAGACGTCCCAGATGCGAATCCCATCACTGGATGGCCTGCTGCACGTTCCACTTTGTGTATTTCTGCAAAACAGTGGGCACAGATCAAGGAGGCTAAGGAAAGGCAGGGGACGAGCTGAAGCCTGTGAATCTCTTCAGCGTGAGAGCAACCACTGCAGTCGTGTGTATTTCTCTCCCTGGCATTTCTCCACCCACACTCCTACTCACAGTCCTCTCCTACAGTTTTGACATTATTTTTCAAGAACCATGTGGTCCAAAGAAAGGACAATGTGCTGATTCTTTTCCATAAAAAATACATTTTTTTATCTGGTGATAATTTCTGTGAAATTAAAAAAGTTGTGCATACCACCTGGTGGTTGTATATCTGCACATTTCTAAATTTGGCCTATGATAAAAGTTTAAAAGATTTTTATTCAAGAAAATGAACAAGTTTGTTATTTATGTAACACTCTGTAAATAGTTCATAAATATTTGTTGAAAGAATGACTCACGAAGAAACACATTCTAGTGAAATCGTGAAAATCTAAACGAACCTTTAAGGTATTTGTATCAAGATGAAGCAAATACCTGAAGTGGATACATTTGAACAGACATGGATCACCTGGTCATCGGTAACAGAGCGACGGTGAAGTGTGTGCAAGGCCAGCCCAGAGCAGGAGGGGCTGCTCCCTCACGCCAGGGCCACCAGGCAGCAGTTTGCTGGCCAGCAGCCCTGAGTGACAACCTCGCCCTGTGCCAGCCCGGATTCCTCCCAGCCTTGCGTCCCTCTGCCTCTCCGCTCCAGGTCACACTTTCCAATTTGGTTGTGCCCAGCCACAACAGTGACATTTTTAAAAAGTGATTTTTGTTTTACTACCTTAAAAGCTAATAAAAATTCATCTTTCATTTAACTATGACTATAAAAAGTGAGTCTGTGCTTCTTGGATGAAATGACACTTCTTTACGCCAAGGCCAGTCCCACGGACCAATTCACTTCCCACTGGCTGGAGGAGGCTGTTCCCAGCAGCTGTGTGAGCCGCACAGCCCCCGCCTTCTCCCGTCCGAGTGCCAGCCCCTCCCAGGCAGCTCTTCTGCCCACTCCGTCCCGTGCCTTCCCAGAGTCCACACAGCAGTCTTCACCGTCCCTCTGCCCCACTCCTCCCTCCAGGGCCTCACCAACGTCCTCCTCCGACTTGTGCCTCTTCCTGCATTTCCCTTTCTCTCTGCGGCTGGCGGGAATGTGAGGGAAAATGTTTGTGTGTCCTTCCAACAACGATTTAAACATCGCAGAGATCAAATCCTTCAGAACCTAACTCCAGCCCTACCTTTTCCACATCTGCTGTCCCCATGTGAGTAGCTGAGTTGCCTGAGGTTTTAATTTTCTCTATATATTTATTGTTAGCTCCCAGGGTGGGGGCCAGGGGTAGGAACTCTGCTGTACGTACTTCCATCCACACTTTTAACACATAATAGGTGATCAGATAAAGGTTACTAAGAAATGGAAATGTCCAGGTCACCACAGAACATTGTCATACTCAACACAAAGGAACCACTGTACTATTGAGTGTTTTGTCTAAAGAGGATACATTACAAATTTAATCATTTAGAATAAACTTTTGCAAAGCAACATACTATACAAAAGTTTATTAGGGAATTACCTAACTCTCAAAATGTAATACTTTGATATTCTGTTACCTTGGTAGATTTCAGACATCACCATTTCTATAGAGGGTAATCATTAAATACAGGTAAGTTAGCTTCAATAAAACAAATTCTCTTCTTAAAATAGAATGAACAGTACATTAAATCATTTAATATTACTGAATTGATTATAAAGGAATGTATTGGACTGATAACCTCTTTGTTAAAAATAAATATGAATATCTTGCTTTACTGAGTGTTAAGGGAAATTATATTTTCACTGCAATTATATCTGGATTCCTTTATATAAAACACTTTAAAATCCCCCAATAAAATTTACTGTATACTTAAATTGCATTTTGTAAAGAAGTCCCATGAAATCAAATAAATACCAAAGATTTCACTTATTACAGCTTTTGATTATATAGTTAGATATCCTAACAAAAACATAATGACATGAAGTAATACACAGTACATGTTATTTACCATGTATTGTGGTAGTTGTTTCGCTCTTTAACAAAACAAGAATATTTAATGCACTTCTGGAATAAACTCCCATGAAGTCATTAAGTCGAGTACAGTTTGCATTTTTATGGTAAAGAAGTAGATTCAGGAAACAAACTGTGGAGAATCAAAGTCAACTAGATTGCTAATCATCAGGTGAAGAAAAACAACAGAGAATAAAGAAGGCACTTTGATTAAAGACTGTTATCGTGTTTCCAAGGAAAATAGGAGAAACTGCATATTTGAGTTTAAATATCACTGTTTCACTGTTGGGCACAGATGTAAATATTCTGGTATTCTTAATGAAGTTGGGGGGGAGTTTCCAACTCATAAGGATAACAGAAAGTAGCTTGCTTATGTCAACCAGGAAGGAGCACGCGAGGAGCTGCCCAGGCCACACGCAGGCGCGCCATGTCCAGGCCACAGTTCCGCTCACAGCCCGGTCCTGGTGCAGCCCTCTGCACCCGCTCCCTTCGGTGTGTTGCTCTCCTACTCGCCCCAGGGCCACAGTGGCAGCTTTATGCCCCCAGCACATCTTCCTTCAGGCTACTTCAAGAACTAGATACCAGCTAGCTACGCGTGCTTATTTATGCTGGATCATGTGTGCCCACTGTATTTTTAAAAGTTAATTTTCAGTTGACAAATTCTTCTGTTCCATATCTTAAAGGGAAGAAATCTGAAATGCAAATAAATGATTCCGTCCATTTTTCAAACTGCCCTCAGCTGAGGGAAGGGGTCGGGGAGTAAGCCGAGGGTGCCGAGCCCGGATCTAACAGGGCTAGGGCCTCACTCTCCCACCTGTGACCTGCGCAGGCCACCGGAGCTGCCCAGCCCCAGCTCCACTTCTGTATGGCTGGCTTAGCAATGGCTGCAACCTGCAGGGAAAGCTCAAGATGTGCAGGGCCACAGAAGACCAGAGGGAGATGTACAGCTCCTCGGAAACTTCCAAATACGGCTGGATCATGGATACAGAGGTGTAGGGAGAACCAGGCGACTTAGGTTGGAGGCCAGCCTGGGCAACATAGCAAGGCCCCATCTCAAAAATGTGCTTGCTCTGATAATAATGATATTATTCTCTTGGTTATTCTTTTATTATCCTAGACAGTAGCTGACACAATGCCTGTACATGAAAATACATGTTAGAGGGCTGGGGATTTAGCTCAGTTGTTCTGGCGACTGCCCTGCAAGTCGGATCCCTGGCACCAGAAGCAAAACCAAACAAACAAACAAAAAAGTACATGTTAGATATGTGTGTTAGCGAGCTAATGAATTTAAATATGAGTATATGTTAAATATGAGTATATGTTAAATACTTCTCTCATCTTCTCCTCTAACGTTCTTCTTTAAAGACAGAATTTTCACTCTCCCCGGAAGTGTGAAGGTGAAATTACATAATTTTCCCGTGATTGTAGACTGATGCCCAATGTAGTGCTGAAAATTTTAATTTGATAGTGAGGGTCAAGAAGGGAGTTACCCAGAAATCGGATATCTATACAAATGTCCAGCTACTTAGAATAAAGGGGGCAGAGACAAAGGGGCAGTGAAGAATGTAGGTTTTTGTTCTGACGATCTACAATTTTTATGAAATTATAATCCTGAAAATTGATGAATGAACTGCTTACATTTAAACCTCTGCTTCTCTAACAGTGACAGGCAGGTGGACCTTGATGCCATGCGGACCCCAGTCTAGGTGTTCTGAGGGGACACTTGAGTCACACGCGTGTGTGTGGGGGTGTGTGTGTGTGGCATTTTGATGACAGATGTTGCTGAGTGAACAGAGGCTATAACAGATAAACACAGATGAGTTAACATAACTTGGGTGACAACCATGCTTGGTGGGCTTATTTTTAGCCTTCAATAGCAAGCCTGGGTAGGAAAAAACATAGGTGTACTTGGAAAAGAGCACACAAATGTCAGCTTTACTTAACAGAAACAGAGAAAAGCAGAGATGAAGGTTATGTTAGAAGTCAGATAAATTGGGAAATTATTCATAACGTGTGATTGACAACAGGTTAATCTTCTCACTGTCTAAAGCGGTCTTAGATAAAAAGAGGTCCAATTTTTAAATTCATAATTGATTGGACCTAGTCACACAGAGAAGGCAAGGCCCACATGTACTTTACAGATTGCCAACTTAATAATTTAATTTTTAAAGGCACTGACAAGAAATGAGAGCAAAAGGGAAAATAAAGAGTTGAGTTAGTGGAGAGGCCTTAAACAAATCACTTCACACTTTTGAATCTCATTTTTCTCTTTGTCAAAAATAAAGAAAAACAAATCAGAGCAAAGTGGATTTGATTTTTTTAATTTAAGTTATATGCAATTGAGATTTTAGTTCTGGGGCAATGTTCACTCAAACTGTTTCCATGGATAAGAGAATTGACCCCAGAAACTACCGGAGAGATGTTAGGAAACATGAAGGTTAAGTACAGAAGTTCAAGAATGTCAGATGGGATAAAAAGAAAATAAAAACAATATAAACAGAAATAATGGGCGGAAATCCTAAGAAATGTAGAAATATATGGTTCTCCCTGTTGCCTGAGCTCACAAAATGCCAAAAAAAAATCACAAGTGCTAAATAAAGCCTCAGACCTGAGCACATAGAAAAGCAGCTTCCACACATGGAGGACAAAGAGAAAATTCTGAAGCCATCAGATAGCAAGGGTAAGACAGTGAAGTATGAGTAAATGTATAAATACATAAATGTGCTGAGTCCACATAACATATTTGCGAATTAAAGCTCATCTGGAAAAAAGAAAGGCGCCTCTGACTTGTGTGTGGAGAACAGATTTGATTATCGACAGAAATTGAGGAGACTTCATGAGAGTCTCTTTGGTAGCCTGGGAAACAACGACTTTGGGGTCCCCGAACTCGGGGTGAGAGGAGATGAAGACATACACAGACTCGTATTTCACGATCCTCGGTCACTTCCTGTCCACGCTCACCTCTCTCCTCTCCTAGATTTCTGCTTCTTCTGCATCCCCTTCACAGTAGTTAGCATCTTGTCAACCTCACATTAAAAACCATGCATTAAATGTCCTGTTACATTAAGAGAAGTGAAGATGGGAGGCAGCATGTGTGAAAAAGAAAGAAGGAAAGAAAAGTTACATAAAGAAATCAGTTCAGGACAACACATCGGCTATTCCATTAGCTGTACCGTCAGGAAGATCTATTACTTTATTTTTCTCTAAATAATGCATTGCCAAGAGTGTATGCAATAAAGAGAAAATGTATGTTCTTCTGGCAAAGGAGCTCAAACAAATATTAAAATTTATATTTATCCAAAGAAAGTCAATTAGTTTCTTGGCAGATGCGGAAACATTAATTGTGTCCTTCTTTCTCTCTGTCCTCTCATTTGGAATTCACCTAGTAAATAACTGACAGAACGCTCTTTATAAATATTGCTATCTTTGAGCCATCTCCCCATACAAGGAATTAAATTTGTCCCGTAGTGTTTCCAGCCTGAACTTCACCCTCTTATGCCAGGATTTATGATGCATTCTCTGTTCTAATAATATCTTAACAGTAATCTAACTCTAGTCTAAAAGAATTTTATTCCTTCCAGTTCCCCTAAACAGAGACCACTTTGATCAGTCATAAGTTTCCTCTTTGTTCACGTCTATATGCACAGAATAATGTTGCTTTAGTCTTTAGAATGCTTTTTGTCCTTCCTACCACTTAAATTTCAACCATTTTATGAATTCTTTTTCTTAGTGACTGTCAACCCTTAAGGTCATGGGATGAATGAAAATAGACAGAAAGTAGGCCTGACTTCTAGAATTTCAGTGATTTAATAGGTCTAATGATCACTGTCACCAGTAACAAAGGGAGTAATACAATTGGCCCAAGTTACACTCTTACAAAACTTATAAGAGCATTTTCCCCCATTGTCCTCAAAGTTACCCCCGCAATTACCTGTCTAATGCTACACCTGTGACAAGGTCAATATTATTGATTCCAACTATTTGTCCAGAGAGTTTCCTGTGTCAAGTGTCTGTCCTGCAAGGCACTAGGATTCACTGGCAATCAAGACACTCTGTGCTCTTTCTTTTTGGAGCTGAAATTTTAATGAAAAAAATAGATCACTGATACATAAGCGAGACAATTCCAAAGTGATGTTTATCAAATAGCACGATATGACAAAGATTCAATTAGACAAAGGAGAGATAGCTATAGTATAGTGAGTCATCAGATTAGATTTTAT